TGAGTCACCGTTGGACAAAAACTAGTCCGCATATATTTGATACCATTCAGTAAAACTTTTCGAATTTCGTCATGTTTTCCACCAAGGTTGTTATATGCCGGGATGTCTCCTTTTCCGCGAATATCCGTGGTTATTCCTAGTCGCTTCTTAACTAAAAATTTGTGAAATGGGTTTCACTTTACGCTGATACGTCAGGCTCTCAGAATATATCTTTGACTGAGTTAACTCAACTGACTTCATAACAGTGACCTGTTGCAGAGGGCGTACCGTTCAAATGAATCACAAGACGTCGCGTGCAACTCGGAAGAATAACATTAGACAGCGATTCGTCACTCTTTTGAAGAAGTTCAAAGTTCCAGATGAAGAGGTGCGTTTGATTTTAAACGTTTTTTTAAGGTTCCTACATTCCCCTATTTCTTGTACTTGGAATCAGACTGGAAGGTAGAGTCTTCTAATCGAGCGATAGATAATAGTACTTATTGTTAGCAACTTGTAAGCATGCTGTCACATCCTTTATGACAGCTTTTTCTCTCTGCTGGGTAACTAACTGATTTGTTCGTTACTTGCCCTGCTGCTTCTCCTATTTCTCGTTGAACTTTTTGAGTTCCTTCCCCTTGAAGAACATATGAAAATTCAACCTGATGTCTATGAGAGAGTCAGTTAGGCTAGCCTTTTTGGTTATTTATCTGAATATGAAGGCTTGTGAGGCTTAGGTGTAGTGGCAACTAGCAAGCTTACCACGTGCGCAGGCTAAGGGACACATTCTGTATCCCCGGCCAACAAAGCCTTCTGTCCTCCGGGGTCGTCAGTTGGTGTCAGACTGTCCGGAAGCATAAGACCCCCGTCTGCAACGGCTGGCCTGGCAATTCTTTGCATGGGCACAGCATTCCAAAGGCCCTTTGATCTGAATGTAAGTAGATCGTGACAGGATGAGAGATTTCCTACATTTCTCCGGCTGGCGCGCTGCAGAACTAACATAAAACGACTATTCTAACAACAGAAATCAGCAAATGTTTGTTGACATCTGTAGACAATGTATGACCAAAACTAGACATAAATGTGTATCATTTCCTTGTCCACATGAAATCAGATGAAATGAAGCTCCATTCGAAACGGTGGTTAAAGAAACGACGCGCCCATTCCCACGCCCGACGAAGCGGCAGTTTACGAATCTCTTGATCGTCTCTGAGTGGAGATCCTTCATTTTTTTGAAAAGCCGGTAAAAAGTGCTAGGATGTTGGGAGACGTGCTAGATGAAAATATGATGGGGAATACGAGTCGTAGGTTAGTTAACTATCTCACGTTATTCAACACAAGATTAGAAAGCCAACATCAGCTGCTTTGCAACCGGAGTTATCACATCTCATAGGGTTGAGTACCTGCTTCCCATGCGTAGGCAGTGGGTCATAGGTAACGGTGGTTTCGAAACCATTGAATAAACATCGTGTGTAAGTAATAGAGGTGAAATAAAGAAATAAATAAAATAAAGAGAATAGGATTTTCGCAATATCCTCACCTAATTTTTCAATGATCTAGCACAGTTAAGGGCATTCCGTCAAGATCAGACTCTGCTGTAATGGTACCGACAGAAAAGGAACTACAAGATCTCTTTGAGGAATTGGAAAATATGAGCGATTCAGGTAATACATTATTAACTTTTGTTTTGCTCTCATTTGATCCCCTTACCAATAAATGTTTGCAACGAGGGGTATTCTGCCTTACTCATAAATGGAGGCGGAGGTGGTGTAGTGGCATGTGGCACGCTCAACATGCGCACGCTTCGGGTGTCGGATCCCGGATCGACTATCGCTCAGGCCTTTTACACTCCGGGGATGGCATATTGGCTGCAGAGTCGTTGACTTGTACATCGGCTGGCCTCCGCAAGTCATTGTATAGGCCACATCGCATTCAATAAGCCACTACGATTCTGAATGGAAGTAGAATGCGTGCCGCATCCCACAAAGGGATTGATTAACGGCGAAGACTTTATCCTTTATCCGTTAAGTAGCTATAAGTAGGTCCGCAACTCGCGTGACATGTTTGTTCCGTTTTCCACTAGTTCTTGTTGGACGCTGGTCCTAATTTTCCAATTTCGGAGTAGCTTTGAATCCTTCAGAGAAAGATCTTTTGTTTCCATGCGTCAATGTTTTCCTATAGGATGTAATTTCTTCATCGGTAAAATCTGACAATCTGTCGGGAAGTGAGCTCGGTTTTCTTCAAACTCCGTGTTCAGAAATCGGTCGTAACCCTTTCCGGTGATGGTAACATTCGCTGACTTGTTTTTGATTGGCGTGTTATTGCCGTCGCATGGGGATGTTTTTCCTCGTAAATGGCCTAGTGTGTAACTTTAGGACCGGAAATGGCAGCAGACGAGATATCAATAGGCAGCAACCCACGGCCTGGTCTACGTCCTTACTTCACGCGATCGAAGGAGGTACTACCGGCGATTTATGATCGTGTAAGTGATGCCACTAAACGTCCATTTTCAGATCTTTTAATTTTGTGGTGAGCTTACGTCTTTGACTTTATTATGCTACGTTCTACAACATGTTTCGCAAATGTTTTATTTTGTATTTTCCTGAAATCTTTTCTGTTGACAGCTGAAAAAAGATCTTCAACTCACAAACTTCCACATACTTGCAACTTCGATATTAGGCGCCGTCTTCTTATGCAGCGAACCGGTGGTGATTTAATGGCGAGTGGCACGCTTGCAACGCGCGCAGACCGGGGTCAAATCCCGGGTAGACTCCCGCCCAGGCCAACCAAGCCTTCTACCCTCCGGGGACGGTAAATTGGTACCAGATTCGTCTGGGAGGATAAACACTGACTTGTACATCGGCTGGCCCCGCAAGTCATTGTATAGGCCACATCGCATTCAATAAGCCACTACGATTCTGAATGGAAGTAGAATGCGTGCCGCATCCCACAAAGGATTGATTAATGGCGGAGTTATCGTCAATCCTTTATCCTTGCCTTTCGACACCGTCAAAACAAGGGCCGGATAATCCACGAAGAAAATTTGAAACCTGTCGAGTGATCTTTGATTCTCTAATTGTCCGATTTTCTAACCATACTTATAATTTCCTTTTTGCGGATTCTCCGACTCTTTGCTTCCTTTATTCTCTAAGTACCAGTACCCCGCTCCATACAGCATGAATCGGGAGCATTTCGAAACTGGGGTGTTTACCCTTTCAAAACGGCTTTTTTTTCCAAAAGATTAGATAGGAGAATTCTCATCTTGCTAAGAAATAAAAAGGAAAGCCTTTAGCGCTACTCACTATTTCCATAACTTGCAGATTCAGTGGCAGGATTCACACGACTGGGTTATTCTGCTCAATCTTGTGCTAATCAGCAATCCGACTATCCTTGCTTTTTTCGTAGACATTTGCCTTTTCCAAGTCCTACACCATTTTCATTTTGCAGTAACCTGTAACTACAGAACTTAGAACAATGAAAAAAATCTAATCAGACAGTAATGAACAACAATAGGGGAACATCCGGTGGCGTTATCATTCTGAAACAACGGCGAAGCGACGTTATTCAGACAAGAAAGAGGGAATTCTTTTGCCTTTTCAAGCTAGAACTTCCTGTTGACGTAACAAGTTCACCTTTGCATCACATTTTCCTTTGGGAGACTGAACTGAAGTTGTCTGCAAAATTGGGACAAAAAAAGGCGGATGTGGTGTAGCAGTGGCGTGCTTTTTATGTACACGCGCGGTCCCGTGGTCAAACATCGGATCGGCTCCCAGCCAGGCCAACCAAGCCTTCTAACCTCTGGGGATGGCAAACTGGTGTCAGACTCGTATGGAAGAGTAAAAATACTAAATTGTATATCGGCTGGCCTCCACAAGTCATTGTATAGGAAACATGTTGCTCAATATTCAGTACGATTCTGAATAAAAGTAAAATGCCTGGGGAGGGATTGATCAATGGCGGGGGTTTAGCCTTTTATCCTTCCAAAAAAAACCAGTTTTTCGGATTTCATGTGTGACATTATCACTTCGTGACGCAGTGTATGCGTGCAAACCAAATCCGCTTAAGTAGATATTTTGCTGGAGGCATGTTTTTCTAACATCTCTTCTGTTGGATCCCGGGTGGCCAGTATTTTTGGCTTCCATCTGCTGTTGTTGCCTTTAGCACCATTAGTCTCTATTCTGGGATTTTGAAGTTTATCCTTTCCTTTTATCCTTGGGGTCGAACTCTACTTTATTAGAGTTCCAACTGTTTGTGTTATTTTGTGCTGACAAGTACAGATGTTTTAATCTTTGTACTGACTGTGATCATTTAGTGCAAAGTGTAGGTCGACTCTGTTTGGCCGCCTGCCAGTCTCAGCCACTTGAAATCGACCTAGAACGGGATCGGAAAAAGCACGGCGCACTGGAAGGAGACCTCAGTGAAGTGAGTGTTACGTCTTCCAACAGTTGTTTCCAAAGTATGTTTACTGTGGTAGCCATAGTATCCATGGAATGTTTAGGAGGATTCCTATAGTGATTATGAGGATGCACCTGTTGACAGTGACGTCAATGAACCCAGTAGCGCGAGGAGTGCTGGGAGGTGCGTGTTTTGACATTTAGTTGTTTACGCCTATGTCACTTGAAGATTAATCTTTCATACTACTGTCACAGAGGGATTTAATTAATGCTAGTAAGAGGGAATCCTTTCCCTGAGGGAGCAACTTGAATTGGTCTCTGATGCGGCTTTTGGTAAACATCCAGCGTCGCAAACGCTTGTAATTGAGCTGTTTCTGGGGAACAGAAGATTTTAATGAGGCGTTAAAGTTTGTTGCTGTAAGGTATAACGTTTGACTGGTCTTAGCAAAGATTCAAAATGGATTCTGCGTCTAGATGCGGAGGATAGGTTTGGCACGGCGCCAACCCGTTCCTTTTTTTTCTTTCGGCAAGCGCCGAGACTGTATCATGTTGTTCGTATCACTCTTTTTAAAACCACCTGTTGTCTCGTATTCGCTTCAACAACAGTCGAAGGACGGGCTAGCGGCTTGCCAAACCCTGCCTCACTGACACGTCCCATCATCCGCGTCGAACAAGACCGCATGGATTTCATTAAAAACTCAAATATTTTTTCGATTCAAACCGCTTTTCTTCCATTTATTTCACACTATGCAAAAATCAATGCCTCTTTTCTAAAAATCACATATTCCTCATTTCGAATTTGCGCTCGTATAGTCAAATTTGTTCGCTTCATTTGTTCTGCAAAAAAATGACTCAGCGACTTGATCTTAATCCTGGCAAAGAACCGAGAAACCGACCTGGGGAGGGAGTGCAGGTGTCAGGGCACGTCGTGCATTGGGGAGCTGCTGCGAGGAGTGCCGTACTCGGTCGCTGGAAGGAGAGGGTTGCGTTTGCTTCTGAAGGAAATGTTTGCGGTTGTTGACTTCCTTTTTCCTTCTCGTTTCACGCTTTAGTGCGGCAAAATTTCCAGCAAAACTTCGAATAAATGGGCGGAGTTGCTGGAGGCGGAGTCAAGTGTATCATCATATGAACGCCCGTAGAGCAGTGTATATATGTGATATAGTGAAATGGTGAAAGACTTGTGTTCATAGAAATTTTAAAGTGCAATGTATGTAATGTAGGTGTAAATCGTGTTCGAGGCAAGTGAGGGCGTGGCTATCTGGGACGGGGCTTCCAAAGAGCTCTGCTGTGTGCAGGGGGGTTAGTGTAGCGAGCACTTCGCGCATGACCACAAAAAATCTTCCGCTCCTTCCTTTTCGCTAGACAGCATTTCTTTGGAGGAAACCTGCACCTGCAGAAACTCTGAAGAAGAGTTGAGGAGAAAAGTGAAAGATGGTAGGTAAGATGGAGAAGACGGTCGTACCAGAGGAGGAAGTTATTGGGCGTAGTTTCTTCAAAACTCTTCTCCAACAGCAGGACGTCCGTTGGCAGGTGTGACGGAGTGAAATGGGCCAGTCTCTTTTATCTGCTTTCTTTTTCGCTATTGAAGGTTTCTTTAGCCGTAGTTACGGAGACGAGACGAGTCAGAGTGCTTCAGAGAATGAGTAAAGGGATTGCGCTGGACTTTGAAGCCGAAACATTCTACTTTAGTTATCAGTAGTCAACAGCGTCTGGATTTGGATAGTGTTCTGTGGCCCGTTACCGGCGAACCCATAAGATTTTATTGTCTATGAATGAGTCATTGTTGGACAAAAACTAGTCCGCATATATTTGATACCATTCAGTAAAACTTTTCCTGGAAACCTTGACAACACTGTTCCACTGTCTAGCAATCGCGCTGTTCATAGTTTTCTAGTCGCCCAAAACGATGTGATGTCGTGTGGCGCCGCTGAGATCGGGGCCCCCATACCATACACTTCTCATGTCGGTCTCTCTTGGAAACCTCAAAGCGCGAGCTTTTATGGCGTTCGCTTGAAGATGCTGGTAGAACGCATGCCGTAATTCACTTAACGCTAACGCAGAGAAATTAAACGCAGATCTCTCTTCCTGTATCCTGGTATTTATCAATTTTTGTAAACTCGACTCCTGCTATTATGAAAGGGTACGAAAAAATAAAGGAATATGGAGTCCACACGAAGTCAAATTCAATTTTCAATCTTGTATTAGCTGGCGCAGTTTGGCGACGAGGGGGGGGGGGCATTTTGCACTTTCGCTGCCCAACTGGTTCCGGTTTACAAATCTCACTGGTAAGACTAAACTCTTGTGAAGCTGGAGCAAGCTCGAAGTGCCACCATACCATAGTAAAACCTGTCAACTCAAGAAAAGACCCTCTAGATGGTGGCTGCGACCACGCTATGGAGCGAGCATAATGTGGCAAGAATGCTCCTCTCCCCGTCGGCGAACTGTCCCCTCTGTTTAGAGGTATTTAAACGATTAGTTTGCTGCTATTCTATATCTTCTAAGTTCGAGCAGGGTATATTTGCAAATTATGCTAAGCCAGGCTGGTTGTTTACGTTGCAAGTGACGCTGATTCGCTAATAAATATGTTTGTCTTTTTTAGTGTTTTGCGTGATATATGAATATGCTTGGTATCGCGCTAAGAAGCCCGTAGCATGAAATCGTTTTCAGACAATCGCTGTCGGTATGGTGAATTTAACTCAACTGCTGCAGCATGGGGGACTGCGAGAAATAACGTTGTGGTCGTCGGATAGCAACGAAAAGCAGTCTTCAACAGGTTCGTTTGCGCCCCTCATTGTTCTTCTTTTTTTTCAAATATAGATCTGTCTCCTGCATCGTTGCGCACTCATATTTTCATTTAGCTTTCTTTATTTATCCCTTTCGCTGGCAAAGTTTCGGCCACCATGGTAAGGATGCACCCTTTCAACGAGGCTGTCAATTTACTGGGCAGTTGCGATTACTGAGCCTGCTTTCGAAAGACCTGCTGTCGCAAGTTTTCAAACTGCACACCCGCGTTCATGTGATGATCTGGCACCTTCTTTGGATATGCTAGTCCTGCACGCAACATTTGGGGGGTGTATTACTTTCTCATTTAAAAAATACGAGAGGAAGGCGCGACCCCGCTCGCGACGTGGTCACGGTCCCACCCAATGGCCACGGCAACAATCTGCCCATCGTCTAGAATCTCTTGTGGTAGGAGTTGTTATCTCGTCTTACTAAATATCTTACGTGAATGGTCGGGAGTGAATGATTCAGATAGAGCAGTTGCTGACATGCAACGTAAGCGACAACTCGTTCAACTGCGCCCCTTCTCTTCGCCTTATGGCACTGAGCAAGTCGCGTCGGGTCAGCCACAGGGTTCTTTCTATAAGAGACATTTCGGGTGGGGTTTTTTTCTAGCTTTTTTCTGTCAATCCCTTATGGCTTATCTTCATCCTTTCTATTCAAAAGCCACACAACTCGATATGTTTTTTTTGGAATTCAGAGTATGCCTTTAGATGAAAACAGTTGAGCTTGAGCACATATTATTTTGTATGCTTGCCTTGAAAAATTTAGACAAACTGTTATTTTGAAAACGTTTATGTTATTCTCAATCGTTTGGCGCATAAGACCCCCCCCCCCGTCAACATACGACTACCGTTTCCTCGTTTTGGTGCGAATGACTCTGTTAAATATTCTCCGGAGAACTATGTTTCTGGTTAGCTTGCAGGATAAGCTTGATAATAATGTTTTTTTTTTTCTTCGCCCGCTATGGTTAATGTCATCTTGTCATTTGTGTGGTATTGCTATAAATGTCACAGATGTCACATTCTTTCCATGGCGACATTGCGTTGCAAAATGATTGTGCCGTTTTGGTTTCCCGAATGATTGCGTTTTGCAGACATTCCAGCAATTAGTTTCGAGGGTGAAAATGCTCGTCTGCTTGTAAATAGTGAATTCTTACTTTCAACGCTGAAGTTTCATTGTTGAAAATGGAGAAGAATTTCTTCATTTTTATCTTCTGAGAAGCAATCATCCGCGTTGTTGCCCAAACGGGTATCGCGTCACAGCATGTCTTATCCCTTGTTTTTCATTTTCTGTCTTACTGAGTTACTTCATTGTTATCGTTTCTCTGTTTTCAGGTAACGGCAGGGAGAAAATCGCTGTTAGACTTGGAAAGAAAGCAAGTATTCTTGAGAGGAAGCAAAGATAGTCGATTAGCAACATGGTTGCGAGATTCGAGCCGAGAATACTAAGGCCAACTGCTTCCATACTTTTCGCGACGGCGGCATATCAATCCGGTGAACTCTTTCTCGGTGAGTTATTCGACGCGTTCAATGCAGTCGAAGGCATGCGCATCGATCGCGTCGAACGCGCGACCGAAGTTCTGCCGTCGCGAAGTCTGAACGCTGCCTAAGCATCAAGTAATTTCATGAAGAATCCTACAGGATATGGATTCGTGGGGTCTACACAAAAGAATTCTCTTCTTATTGACCTGGATGACAATACGGCATCGTGGGGGAAGTCTAATTTCTTTAGCGTTTTAAGCAGCTACGAAAGTATGGGTAGGTATCAATCGGTATTCAGTGTTTCGAGCGTACAACAGCGTCCACTCAAAACGCTTATTGTGTTGCAGCTAGTTTTGTATTTTCGCAGGAGGTCGCCTATGGAAATGCTTTCGTGCGAGTGTGTGCACACTTTGCGTCACCGTTTGGGGTGCTTTATACGCACGCCAGCGTTTTCGGCGCCTAAAAAAGTGTAGGTATCGATCGAGCGATTTGGGCATCTCCGTTTGACCTCCCCAACTGTCTAATTTCTGCCAAAAAAAGCCGGCTTTTGATTTTTTTTTGGTTGTTCTATTTTCGTTGTTGTTTTAGGGTATGCTTCTTAAGTCTGAATCGCGTCGTTCTGCATTCTTTGCCAACGCAGACTCAATCCATCGTCATTACAGCCAAGCTCGAGGTATTGTCAATACAGCCCTGTTCATAACGTTGCAGAGGAGTGGCAATAAATACATTCTTTCATATAGCGAACCCCAGAGCTTTCCCAGGGTCACTGGCACACAGTTTGGCCTGTAGGATCGCGTTATGGGAAATCAGTCGAGCCCTAGGAAACTCATAGCGACGTTGTACGGAGCTGAACGGCTGGCCCCTACCGCCTCTCTAAAAATTGCCCTCAAGTGATATTAGTAAATCGATAGAGAAGTACTGTTCCAGACTGACGCGGTTACTGTAGGCGTTGTTGATAGACGGCGATGATTGTTGGTTTCACCTTGTCGTGACAGTAGGGGCAGAGGGGGAGCGCTTGCGCCTGCTCCAAAAGGAACATATTGTTGTAGCATGAGTCTTCCATGTGCCTTGCACTGTGCAATATAAACTTAAGTACCTACCTTTAGTACCTCTAGTACTTAGTAACTTTAGTGGTACCCTTCCATGAATGAAGTGTCTTTCTCACTGCCCCCATGCAAGCTTTTACGATAGTGGGCCTTGTATTCGGCACAGCAGTGTTCCATTCCAGGGCAATAAAAGAAGTTTACGAAGCAACGACATAGGAGTAATTCCACAACATGGGCGAATTGATCTCGATCTCGATATTTCTTTTACAATTCAGGTCAGCTCTTCACTACTTGGAGTTTACTGAGATACTGTGTATTCATAATTTATTTCTACTCATCTTTACATTCATAATTTATTTCTACTCATCTTTACATTCATAATTTATTTCTACTCATCTTTACATTTCAGTATCCTCACTTCGTTAAGCGAAAAGGAAATACCCTGCAGGTTCTTATCCAAAGAAGGCGGAGATTCAAGAACAGGCCATTTCCGTCATCGTTTAAGGTTAGAGTTTATTATTATATTTGAAATAGTGCAGGAGTCTTAGCGCTGTTAAACTGGTGATTACGATTTCCTTTCCATTACCGGAGCAGCTCTCCATACGCGTGTAGATCTTGCCGCCGTCTTCATTCAGTTTGTGACCCAAGCAATACATGTGCGGTACGTAGGCTGCGTTCATACTTTGCGTGAGCATTTTGAGCAAGTAGGAAAGCATGGATATCAAACCAGCATTTTCAGCGTCCACCAGCGTTTTGAGCGACTAGAAAACTATGGTCAACGATCTAGCGTTTTGGGCATACGCCAGCATGTTGAGCGTTTTCGCGGCCCTCCATTTCTGTTAGGAACCGGCGTGTGTTTTGGCACGTCTCGGTCGTTGGCTTTTATGCAGTTGGCTTAGACGGCGCTTTTCGATTGGGAAGGCGCCGTCTACGCAACAGCGCTGTCAGGGGCCGTAATTTCTATCATGCGGCGCCTTGTGAATTTTCGATGCAGCTTGCTGTATAATAGCTCTATAGTTCGATCGGAACGGTTGGCCTGTGTCAGGAGGAGTGAGTTTGGACGCGGTGCCGTACCCGTTCTCCACCAGCTGTTGAAACGAGCAAGTGATACGAATGTATCATATTGTTCGCATTACCTGTTTTCTACCACTTTTTGTCGCAGATCGCTTCAATAAGAAGGCAGAGACGGCCTCTTGACGGGCATGTGCTCATATATCTACTGGACAGGCCCAACCATTTCGCAGCCGAACTCATATAACGCAACTATAATAATAATATAATTTGTCGAAATGTACGTTCCGCTGCTGACGAGCCCTCCTATTCTTGTTGAAGTGACAAGGCCTGCCTCAGGGGTTGTAAGAGATAGGGTTTGTGACGGTCTGTTTGAAGGCCATGAGCTGTTACTATGGAAAAGCATATGCACGTTTTCACAACATCAATATGGAATAGGTCTGCAAAGTCTTCGATGTTTAACATCGCGTGCTCAAGAATCGTTATTTACGCCATGTTGTGCGTTGGAAAGCCTGTTGTCATGACGCGGCAGAATTTTATTAGCTGCTGCTAGCTAATTTGATTTTTCGATAACTTACCTAAATTTCTTAGTTGCAACTCTTCTTCCTCATTAGCGTGGTGAACGTATTATGGTAATCTTATGTAGGCGATCATCGTTTGGTCTCGCTTTTCAGTGGTTTTTGTATCTGCTAAAGTTCTTATCATTAAGATTTTAGTTGGTTCATAATGAGTACTGAAGTTGCTTACTGCTAGTGTTATTGTACGTCCAAGTAATAATGGATAAAGGTGGTGTGGTTCCTATGCGACTGTTCGCAAATTGGGAAATGGATCGTGCAAGTTCGAGCGCGTTGTACAAAGGTACGTCACTTTCAACACGTTTTCTTCGAGCGCCATGCAAAGGAAGACTAGGAGCACTGGCAGATTCGGCGTTTCAAAAGTGTAGGTATTGATCTAACAACTGGGGAGGATCGGATAATCGAACCTCGCACATGCTTTTGAATTCTTTTTTTGAACAACGTACGCTGATGATGTATGAATTTTATACATTTATTAGTTAGAACTGCGTCCATACTTTGCGTCAGTGTGCGCAGCATTTCGACGCACATGCAGCTGAAAGCACTGGATGGGTATCGATCAGCTCAGGCCGTTGGCGACATGTGGAAGAGTAGTGGCTCGACGATTCAATGTTTCGGAGAGAAACGCTCCTAGTCCGATGTCTGGAAACATTCAGTCGTTGCGACGGTTCGATCGGTTACCGCCACATTCTTTGACGCCAACTTCTCGAAAATGGTGAAAGCTCTATGTTCTTGATGTCCCAAATGGCAAGATCGATGCATAGTACATTTCTTGAGCACGCATTCTGACACGTGAAGTTGTGTCTTGGGTACCCGTTAAGAAGATTAAGAGTTGAGGATAGTGCGTTTTTTTTAAGTTATAGGAAAACTGCCTTCTCCTTCACTCACTCTAAATCTTTTGCTTGATGGTCTGGTACATTCCCCTAATTTTGTGGAAAAGCTGTGTCTTGGTGGAAATTTCTTGATTTCTATACAAAAGCTCCGTGCAGAGTCAGAGTGACCTTCTATATTGGGTCGCGTTCTGCTGGGTAACTTCAGTTGTTCTGCTACTAACTTTTCAATTTCGAATTATGAGAGTGAGGTGATATGGAGAAGTAGCAGGCACCACGGGGAACTCGTCCAACCACGCTCTTTCTACGTCTTGTGCACTTACAAGCGCGTTCCGCCCTGGGGACCGCATGGGCATTTAACCCGGGTTTTTTTTCTGCTATTTGGGTTATTCGTACTGTGTTTTATTTATCATCTTTTCTTTTGTACTTGGGTCGCACGGCTTACCATTTTTGAACTCGAGACCTGCCTTTAGCAGAAACAGGCAAAAGAAACTAGGGAAAGTGCAAAATTCCCATCCGAAATCGAACGGCATCTAGTCGTGATTCCCAACACAGTGCTTCACCTCTTTTATTCTTTCGCATCTTCAACATCTCAGTCTGGAAGAGCGAAAAGCCCGTTTGAATCGTTTTTTTTTTTGTTTTTGCTTTCCGTTAGCGTATCACTCAGCCCCTACAGGTTTCTGGAGCCCATTACCTTGATTCCGTTCTCCTGGATCTTTCTTGGAATGTTTTGTCAATACAGTTTTATTCAGTCATGAAGTTCGCCCTTTCATGTGAAATGTGCAAAAATTGTTGCCGTGGGAGGGTTTTTCGGCCTTAAAGGCACGGCCCACGATCACCCATAAATGTCCAAGCTGTTTAGAGGGGAAGCTAGTGGAATTCGCAATGAAGAGCCCTGTACAGGTTTGCGTCACAACGTTGTGAGGTAGTAGCTGTAAGGACAAGGTTGTACAAGTGACTCCGCCAAAAGTCAGCGGCTCCGCCCACGTCGAATGATATCTTATCGGTTGTCTCGTATATGCGCACTCCAGCCGCTCTCGTCTGGTCCCCGGACAGTCACGTCCATTTTTTAGTTTTTAGCTATCGCTCATCACAGGGGAAGCCGAATTGTGAGCGTTTTCGACTCACCTTTTTTTAGCGATTCATTTGAGACGTAGGTTTCTATGTATTTTCAATCCCGATACCAACGAACATCTGGCTGGCACATCGCAAATTCTGCCTTTAATTGCAATGACTGCCACTGAGCTTTTCACGAGAGACCTCAGAGGTAGGTGATCAGGTGTTCCTGATCACAGTCGCTGCTGAAGTCACAGGGTAGGAGTTTTTGGTCAGTGTAGAAAAAATGACCACGAAATGAGTCTCAGTTTACGGGGAACAGCTGTTAGTGTTGAGAGAGAGCGTAGTCACGTATCACGTGAAGTGAGAATGCAGCGGGTCAGCAGATACAGTCGTGCGTTTTGGCCAGTTTTCACCGCTCAATTATTTGTTCGAAGCTGATTGATTGATGTCAACATTCCTCACCTTTCAGCTCTTAGATTGACTTTGCGATTTCAAGTTGCTAATAAAGCATTTGCTAACTATCTGCTTAAAACCTTTCATTCTCGCTATGCCGGATCCCATATAATTCGCTGTGGGCTCATCTATTTTGGCACTATTCAACTAATACTACCCCGAAAAGTCAAAAAATTTTTTCGCTAAAAATCTGCCCGCGGGGGTAATTCACTGTCCTGATCACGAATATAGCACTCGTTTTCAGCGCTGATATACTATGTAAATTCACACCTAAATTGATGAGAAAGGTAGAGGCGCCAAAATGGCGCCATTCTGGCGCCTCTACCTTTCTCATCAATTTAGATGTAAATTTACATAGTATATAACGGATGCCGCATTAGTAGCCTTTTGGCGCCATTAGGCTCTGCTTTGGTGCCACATTCTTTTTTATCAAACTCGCCAAAAACATGCATAATAGGGTTATAGATGTCTAGATCCCAAATATGACATTCTATTTTCGACAACAGCGCCATTTAGCGCTCTTCTAAGGCTGAGCCTGGGAAAAGGAGTGATCCCTTAGCCAGGCTCAGCCTTAGCAGAGCGCAGATGATCGCAGTGTCTTCCATCAGCGCCAGCGCCAAAATGAATGTGATATTTGTAATCAAGATGTCAAATAACCTCCGTATACAAGTTTTCAGCGAATTCAGTGGTTCAGGGTTTTTGGTGCCGGCGCCTGTGGCGCAGGCGCCAGGCAATCAGGCCAGGAGTGGATGTGATATTCGTGTTCAGGAGGTCGAATTACCCCTAGAACCCAACTTTCAGCCAAATCCACCCCGTAGAAAAAAGTCGATCAAAATCCGGCCCGTTTTCGGAAAATTGGGGTAGTAATAGTTGAATAGTGCCTCTGTTTCTTATGTCTACTCAGGAATTTTCCCACCTTTCATTTGATATCAGTTAACGAAATACTGAATTGTAGAGATTTCAGGTATTAATCAGCTATCAATAAAATTCGAGAATTTCTTACTAAAAGTTTGCATACACGTGTCGATGCCTGCATCACGAGTATGACATTCATTTTTGGCTCAGGCGCCATCTGGCGCCACCCCTTTTTCACCAATAATCGATAAAGCTTGCATAACGGCGTTGTTTGATGCCCTGATCAATAAGGTATTCATTTTTCGATTTAGCGCTCTGCTAATCGTGAGCCTGGGAAAACTAGAAGTTCCCTTCAAGACAGGCTCGGCCTTAACAGAGCGCAGGTGATTGTAATGTCCTCCATTAGCACTGGCACCAAGTACGAATGTCATATTAGCAATCAGGATAACAATTAAGCTCCGCATACAAGTTTTCATCCACTTTGGTGATAAATCTTTGGCGCCGGCGCCACGGGGTTTTGAGCGAAGCCAGTGGAATATGCGAATTCAGGCTGTCAAACAACTTCTGGAAACGAATTTTCATTCAATCCGTGGTCGCAGAAAAAAAGTCGGTGGAAAACTGGCATGGTTTCGGATGATTGGTGTACTGATAGTTGAACAGTGCCCGGAATTTTTATACATTTATTAGTTAACTTCGGATACAATAGGATTACAGCCGACCGGTTTTCACGCGATTTCGCAGGCGAT